AACTTATGGTCTCTTTCCCACATTAGTATTTATATCCAAAATATTTACCCCCTAAGTTTCATGGCGTGAAAATATATAGACTAAAGCGTGACGTAAGTGTAGGGCTTTTTATTGAAAAAAGAACTATTCAAAAATATGCTGCAATTGCTAACATCTTAGGCAACAAACAAGTGTGTGTTTACGCTTTATTATAATAGTATAGATATCGTTTATTTAAACATTCAAACTTGCATGTTAAAGTTCTGTAACTTAATTTAAATATACCTAACAATTGGTACACTTTAGTTAATCTACGAGGTTAATAACTTGCATAGGAATTTAATCTCGGGGTTTTTGTAATTTATTTTTCTTTTTTTAACATTTCCAACAATGATACTGGCTGTTATGGATATAACAACTTTTTAAATTCTGATTTTGATTGACATTATCTAAAGTAACAAAATATTTAATAATGTTTTTATTGCGTTTTGACGCAAAAACCAATAAACATTTATCAAATCATTTAAATCTTATTCCTACATCCGAAGGTCTTCTGATTATTTCTTTGTAAAAACACCGCTTTTTTTCAACCAACTGATTTTAACGGGACTGCGATAAAATTCATTTAATTTAAATATTTGCCACAAAATTACCGGCAGCTTATATTAAAACTTTATGGTAAAAGTAAAGGGTACTTACGAATTAGAATTAATTAAGTTTGAAGAAGTTTTAGCAAGTTCTTATGAGCGAAAACTTTTTAATACGGAACACGTAAATGAAACTTTAATCGAATTTATCCAATCCAAATTAGTATTATTAAGTTAAAAATTGAGAAACATGTTTTTTGTGTTTACAGTGAAAACTCACGGCTATAAACAAAATTGAATTATTTAACCACAGTCTTAAAAGGTAGGGTAATTAAACGTGGACTGGATATAGACAAGGAAAACTAGTTTACGATCATTTACAACTAGCTCAGTCATATTTATTCAATAATTCATACTAGCGACTTAACGTCCTCTGATAATACATTTAACTTTAATAAAACTGCTGAGAGCGACCGTAAATAATTGTACAAATGATACGCTGTATTCAGCTTTCAATTTAAATAAATGAAATAATAGTTATACATTGCTTGTTTTGTTCCACGTTCAACGATTTATGTTATAATAACAAAGCAATGAATATTCTAACGAGATATTGAAATATAAGCAACGAGTTCTTGAAGTCTTTAATTTTTTGATTCATTCCATCTCTCATTTCCAATATAGTTAATTAACTCATCAACAACTTACCCTTGTCCCTATGGAGGGTCGGTGTAAGTGCAGCTCTTCCATACATCTCTATCAGCCGTCATATATGAATCCACTCCCTTCTTAAGCATATCCTCTTTCGCACAATCCAACCTAATTCTTCAATCTTCCTCTACCTTTGTAGCCATCCATTCAATCATAACACTTTCTGGCTTATATCCCCATCTTCTTGTCGCATAAGACAAGTTACAGTTAATTAACTCACGTCTGCATTAAAAAATATAACAAATCAATCACGATCTATAAAAAGTGCTAACTTACATTGAATGTTATATTAATAATGTATTTGAAATAAGCACCGCTGCAGTCAGTGGACATTTTTTTTCAATCGACAGTAACACATGGCCTCCGCACCGACCTGGATAACGGACTGATCCTGTAACGGTTTCTTATTTACCTTTTGAGTCAAGGAACGAAATACCGGGACTTAGGACCTGCCCCACTATCTTGTAAATTCTCAGATAATAATCCAACGTAAAAATGTGTGATGGAAGTATCGGATTTTGGTAGTACATCCGACAGTCACGTC